TGTTTATTTGTAATGAAATCAGTTTAGTTCACAAGCAAGTGAAGATCCTCTGCTATCCGTCTCCATACGTTATCTTTGTATTCATTATCTTTGTAGTTTTTGTCCTTTTTATCATAGATAACTGAATTCGCTGAAACAAATTGGATTAAGCGGTCCGCCATGTTGAATTTGACGTGTCAAGCTGCATTGTGATTGGTCAGAAGTGCTGCCGTCGCCGCGACGAGTTGGAAAAATCGACCCGGAGGCGAAAAAAATTTATGTCGCTTTTCGTGTCGCGAAATTACGTCGGCAGTGTGCAATGTATCATTGACAAGTTATTGGTTCGAAAAATATTATTGACGCGCGAATAAATCGCGCGTTAAATTCGCGTCTGGTGTGAAAGGGCCTTAACACATACAACGGGCTGCTGCGTGCATACACACCGCCATCACAGGCAACTTGGAGGGTTCAGTGTCTTGTCCAAGGACACTTCAACATGTGGACTGCAGGCACTGAGATTTGAACCCTCAACCTTCCGGTTAGGAGACCGCTGCTCTACCCACCGCACCGCTATCGCCCCCCAGGACAGGTTTCCTAGGGGATTTCATCACCAAGTAGAACAGGGAGATCTCAATGTCCAAGGTTGCACACTGCTGTCACATCTGGCTCCTAGGAATGGATAATGATCAAATAAGGTTCATTATTATTCAACATTTAAAAGTTATAGTGCAAACACGTTTGTCAAAGTGTATGCGAAACAAGTGTCACCCCACTGTTTGACAGTAAAGTTGAGTTACTGATTTGAGAAGTTACTTTTAAGATACAATCCACGGCTTCAGTGTTATCAACAGCAATAGACCCCAACTCTATCTACACAGTACTATATATTCCCAACACCTTTAAAATACTGAAACAGTTTAGGCAGCAACATATACAATAAGTCTGACAATGGTTGTACATTGTACATGTATGTATCTTGTATACTGTATATTTCTTGGTTCAATCCATTTCAGTTCATCCAATCAAAAAATAAAAAGCTTAATGTGATGGATTAACTCTTTGTCAAATACTGCCCTAGTGCTAATTAAAACTCCTTAAGATGAAATATCTTATACAATAAATTTCTATTAAAGCTCAGTGAGTGTAAAATAAATACTTCTGAGAGTTATTAAGTTAATTCCCATTACACTCGTCACCTCCAGTGTATTAAGGCCCACACTGACAAAGCAGCTGTTCAGTGTTCCACTTTACCCAACTTGTTGTAAGTCAGATGAGGTTGACAGTAGTGGTAGAAAAGTTTTCTATTGTTAGGTGAACTGAAAAATGCACTTTCTAGAACCTAGAAAACCTCTTTTTTTCAAGATAAATACCACTACTGGCCCTTTCTCACAGCAGGCATTTTGACAAATAATAGTACTTGATGTGTTCCATTTAGGAGTATTAGTAAGCCACATCTAAATGGAATATAGTTGCACTTGTGTTTAAGTAGTCAAAATGTCCACTGTGAGAAACTTCTTGGGCTGCATGATGACTCAATGGTTAACACTGATGTCTTATAGTATGAGGAGGGTTCTTTTTCTTTGAAAAGAGAAGACTAATAAAAGGATATATCACAGTGTGAAATTTATTATGCATTAACATATCAAAATAAACGTGCACATGGATCTTCACTGTTTAGGATAAACAGAAAAGACTGTCCTCAACTTGTCGGTATACAATATTTGTATGCAAAGGTGCTACTATCTAATTGTTCAAAAATTGTTGGGGAGAAGCTGTGGTTTAGCTTTGTTTCCAACTAACTGCTCCATTTTAGGCATTGCTTTCCATTTCACTAATTAAAACTGCTCTGCCTGTGTGTGTGTAATGGTCCTACCTTTGAAGTTTTCTCCTCTTCAGATCTAATCTCTGTTTACTAACCATAGTGTCCCAGTGAACCCTAATTCCCCTGGGCTCATCTGCCAGGTGGTGATAATAAAGTAACTGTGGACCCTCTTTGCCAAAGCTGTAAATCTAATGAGATTCAGTGTTTTAGTGAACCAGTCCCTTTGATGTTAGACAGTGCTCCAGTTGGCTAACACTATATTGACCAGTGATTCAGTGAACACATAGGATATGTAACTATATGAACATAACTGAGATTAAAGTATAGACTTATGTATGCTATAAAATAAAAACCTTAACTAATTCTATTCATATCTACTTAAAAATAAAAATCACCCTGTTATGGTAACCCCCTCACCAGGAGGGTGAGGGAGGACTGAGGTTGGACTCAAGTTTGCAAACCCAGGTGCTAGGGGGGAAAACATGACGGTAGCAGGTAAAGAAAGAGAACACAAAGTATCAAAAGAACATAACATGGGAAGGTACGGTACTTGGATATGTATAATATGTAGTGTAGTGTAAATTAGCGTAGCGCGTAGTTAGTGTGGTAGTGTGGTAATAACAAGAAGACATGAAATGCACCTGCTTCTGCTGAAACATTAAAACACTGAACACAAAGGGAAAAAACACAAATGGTATTGTCATGTGTGTTTATTTAGCGCCTTATCCAAAATCTTCCTTTCATTGCCTACTTAAAATTTTGCATCCTTGAACTTTTTCCCACATGTTTAAATATTCATATTTCTTTGGCATAATCCTTCATACAAACTAATACAGCAATGCTCTTTAATTAACAGTTATTAACAGTTATTTCTACCTTTGGCAGCAGTTCAGTTAGGCTTACGCTTTTTATGCTGCAGAGGGAAAATGCTGTAGTGGCATATAATGGGAACATTTTATATCAGAATAACCTAAAAAGAGAAAGAAAAGCATGTTCATATATATTTATTTTACCTAATCCTAACCCTATAGGTGCTTTCAGAGAGCACAAGATCCTGGTTCACTTTTGAACCTTAAATTTGAGATGGTGAGGAGCTCAGAAAACAAAGAACCAAATGATTTCTTCTTTCTTGGGCCTCAGTGTATGCAAAGATTTTGAGAGTTATGAATCCATTCTTCTTCATTGCTTATAATCTATAATTTTGTCATCTTGATTGCCCATACTGTAAATCTTCAAAAAGTAACATAATATCTCCTGGAAAATAATACATTTAATAAAGATTTTCATAAGATGGAAGTTTACACTAGGTGAACTTGAAATTCCTTCTGAAGTGTCACATTTCAGGCCTGTGGTACAAGCACATCACTATAAAAGGATGCCTGAATCACAACCTAGATAACTGAGAACAAATCTGAGCTCCTTCATCTGCAAAGTTTGAACACACTTTTGCACAGTGAATTGACCAGGGGGCTCAAGGTTGCAATTGTAGAAAGAAATTCTTGATAAAATGATATAGTGCTATGTTATGTATTTGCAAAACTGTTCAAATAATTGTTTAATCTGTTTGACCTTTGTAAAAGGACCTGTGCACATGAAATGCTTGTGAGTAGGTGCAGAGAGACTCACAACAACAGGAAGTTGTGCAGATATATACTGAGATGACTAAACTGTCTGCACGAGAATTGTGTGTGGGTGTAAAGTCTGATTGTCTTGGCTTCAGATTATCAACATTTATCAACATTATATGAAATTCTAGGATTGACATTATAATCTGCATTAGCAAATATATTTACATGTTTATTTTAGTATCATATGCATTATAATAGTATCATATGCTTTATGATTTACTTTTGTTTTAACCAGTTCACTTGTCTTTAAGAATATAGGAGACATGTGTAAGGCTGTAAGAGTAGACAGGAAACCACATACAGGAAGTAGACCACGGTTGCATAGCAACGCTCGAGGTGCTTCTTCTAAAACTGTCTATTGAAAGGTCAGGATATGTTGTACTGAGAATGTCACAGATCAAAATCTGCCTGGCGACAAGATCACCAAATGAGGGGTCAGAACGAGGTCAAGAAACCAACCCATGAATGAGGATGAAGGACAACGCAGATGACGTCAGATCATTTGCATGACTCTTATTATAAATTCTCTATGCAGAGGAAACTCATGGTTCCGGCTTCCTGCATCAGCTATGCACTATACTTCTGTGTGATAGGGCTTCAGATAGAGATGGAATCCAGAGCTCTGTATTGCTTTTCTTGAATATTTTGCCTTAAATATTGATTGTAGTAAATATCTCAAAAGACAGATTTGTCTTTGAGCATTCTTCATAAAAGGACACGCAGGACTGGTTTAGTCCAACACAATTCTCATATGAAGTCAAGACACTACATCCATTGTCCCTGACAGAAAGCAGCTATCTATAAAAACAATCTGCAAGCAGATCTGTGGGTGTGCTGGTCCAAGTCACAGGGGTCAGCTCTGGGTAACTTCAATAACAGACAGAAAACTATCCATTAGGTCTCCACCACTCTGTGCATCAAAAAGCAGTATGTTCATACATGATGAGAATATAAGGGGCTTACTGAATATGCTAATCAAATAGTGTGGGAGTGTTGTAACTCAGGCGGTATCTAACAAAAACATGAACATATGGTCATCTTCAAAGGGCAGATATGCTGTCTATAAAAACCCTAATAAACGAACAGTAAATACTGGACATTTGGTCTACTTCAAAGTGCATCCTGCATACACATTCTTTAACAAACAGGAAATACTACGCAGTTTTAACAGTCATCAATCACATATAAGTATGGAATAAAAAATAGGAAAAGACACTTAAGTTCATATGACTCAAATATTACATTAGATAGGCCAATTTTTCATGTCATATTAAAATTTTATCTGAATATTGCACATACGAGTAGGACATTAAAATACTAATATTTTTTTAATTCATAATATCATGACATAGTCCCAGAAGTAATATTCAAATGAAGAAAGTCACTTTTTCCCGTTTTAGGGGTCGCCACAGCGAATCGTCACACTGACGATTCGCATGTTGACATTTGGCACGTGTTTTACGCCGGTAATATTTAAATAATAATGTATAAATAATAATAATAATATATAGGAACCTTTTTGATCGGAACGTAGATTCTCTGTCCCGTTTTCTGGAGGCCAATGGACGCTGTCCGACACTATTTTGCATTCGTGCGGAAAATAGCTATAGAAAGCTGACAGTGAAGCGAAACTGAAAGTTTGGCGATTACTGTTATATTCATGGCTGTATTTTCACTTTGTTTAGAGGTGTTCCTTATTACTTATATTTTAACATAATATTAAGAACCTGCTCCAAAAATAAGCTATGTGTAAATTGAGAAGGCTAGCTAGATAAGCTAAGCAGCTAACTTAACAGTTTCCCGATAATTGTGTGGCCATGTCGGGACTTTTAAAATCTCAAAGATCTACTGGTTATTCTAAAATATTTTTCAGCGCATTTCAGCAGACAAACAAACCCAAATGCCTCGGAAAGAGACGTCAGTCTGAGGAATATATCAGAAGGTTTATTTCTGAGAACACGGAAATAGCTGGAGAGCAGAGCCTGACTCCTGAGATCAAACTGAGACTGTTCACCCCCAGCTGCAGATTTTGGCGAGAAAGACCAGAGCTCTGGCCTTTCGATGACCCGTACTGGGCTATATACTGGCCTGGAGGACAGGCACTCTCAAGGTAGGTCCATAATAAACAGCTGATACAATTTCACGTGAGTAAGTTACTGCTGTTAAGCCTCATTTAATGCCACCTCCCTGAAGGTATCTTTTGGATAACCCTGGACTGTGTCGGGGTATGACAGTCCTGGATCTGGGCAGCGGTTGTGGAGCTTCAGCCATCGCTGCAAAACTGTGTGGTGCATCTCATGTCATTGCTAATGACACTGACACAGGTATGCAACCATTTAGTCTTCATCTGCTGTTAATAATTTATTGTTTATATTAGCCAATAGTCAGATTACACAAACACACTCAGAATGACCTGTTTACTGGGCCACAGTGCAGAAACCTCTGTTTGGCTCTTAGTGAATTTAATGAAACCACATTAGCTATTCATAAATGCATCATGCAAGCACAATATAAACTGAAGTAACAAAGGTGGAGCCACAAGATGTGGCGGATTTTACATATGATAATTTCTTACTGTATTAAGTCAGTCACAGTGATAGAGCTCAGCACAATGTTATGCAGTTAAAATTGCTTGCTCAGTCACTTGTCCTCATATTTGATGAGTCATGTTAATATGCACTCTCAACATGTGTGTGTTTGCTTGGCAGGCAGAATGTAAAATTTTATCAGAAACACTGAGAAACTTTAGAGACAAATAGACAATGGAGTATTTGTAAAATTGGAAGGGAGTTGCAAAGGCTGAAATAAATGTTTTATTGAAAACATTAAGCATTAATATGAGAAAAGATTGTGGCATATGATCAGTAAAATCATTAATTCTAGGTAATACTATGTGATCAAATATGAATTAAGGTGTTGTGTTTATATACAGTATATACATATATAATCCTTTGACAGAAAATATCATTATCATTAATACTTGCTGGCGCATTTGAAGATAATATGCCTGTTTGTGTTACAGTTGCAGCCGTTGCAATGCACATGAACTATGAGCTGAATGGTCTGGAGCTACCCCTTTGTGTGACTGACAACTTGATCGGTTCAGAGCCTGAGGACTTGGACCTAATCCTCCTAGGTGACATGTTCTATGACGAGGCCTTTGCCACCAGCCTTCACAGCTGGCTGGACCGCTGCATCAAAACCCGAGGCACCAGAGTCCTTATTGGAGATCCTGGGAGAGCTCAGTTTGAGGAGCACAGCATTCGAGGACTTCTGCATCAGCTAGCTCAGTTTAAGCTGCCCGAGTCTGTCAAAGAAGAAAACTACGGTTTGACCTGCAGCAGTGTTTGGTACTACCATCCTCAGGGCCGGATTAAGGGTGATGGGCTCCCTGGGCTTAAGTAATTGCTTGGGCCTTACTTAAAGAAGGATATATATATATATAGTTGCTCCTCACAGAAAGTGATAAACTCTTGTACCAGAACATGGACATTTGCATGCCAACTGTCTATTCCAACTGCCCTGAACTGTTATTCAGAGGACTCTGACCAAAAAAAGAGGCATTACACTACTTACTTTATTGACCTTATGAGAAATGCATAATATGTTTCAATAGGCTTTTTTCCGATGGCAAGAGGTTAGCAGACAAATACAGTGTATAATTTTTGGCATGGACACATTTTAGTTGTTTGGCTCTGCATGTTTACCTGGTTTGATTTAAAATGAAATTGAATGAGATTAAAGCTTTGACTTCAAGCAGTTTGGTTGTATTTACAGAATAGAAAAGTAACTGCAGTCTCCTAGATTCTGTCAGTTTCAGGGTAGTGCAAGATGGTGGTTATTTTAAACATACAGCTAATTCTGCCCAGCAATGAGATGTTGACTGGCATAGTCAGTCACCTGTCATCAGTTCAGCTGAGCAGGTGTGTCACTTAACAGGCAAAGTTTTCCATAATCTGCTTCAGAATGGCTCAACGCATACACAAGGAGGTTAAGAGAGTAAAGAGTGATCTACAAGGCCAATATGTTCTTCATACATAGGAATAAACATATGCAGTAATTCAGCTATGGGGGAGGAAGGGAGTAAGTTTCACTGAGCAGCAAAGTTCCTTAGCTAAAGAGTGTCAAGGTTTTTGAGATCAACAGTTGCAGTCTTCAGTCACAGTGTTTAACAATTCTGCTTTTCTCAGCCTCATACCAGCAACAACCTATTTAACTCAGTAGCAGTGCATTTGTAATTAACAAATACAAACTTGATTAACAGATTGTTTCCACAGAGAAAACCTCACCTCATGAATAAGCAGCTGACAGCAGGTCAGTATTTGAGTTGAACCTAGTAGTGTATGCACAGGTTTTTACTAGAGGAGCAGAACCTTTCAGTAAATCCAATATTTTCTCTAAAGCATTTAGCTACCATGCTAGGTTAAAGAAATAAAGTCAAGTCAAGAATCTTTATTGTCATTATGCATAGCAAAACGATTTTTTCCCAGCAGCTCTTGGCTTAAAAGACACATTATTTACATAACACACAATTGTATAAGTCAATATAACAATATGAACAAATAAAAAGGGATGTATGGGACCTAATCAGGTCAGCAGCATGTTAGGAGCAAAAGAGTGTAGTAACATTATAAGGTGCAGCTCAGTGCAAATCTCAGTCTTTAGGAAGAGGTGTGGGCATGGGTGTGTGTCTGCAGAGGTTCAGTGTTCTGTCTGTGTTTGTCCATAGGGGGGAGGTTGTGTGTATGACTAGGGGTTAGGTGGGTGATTGATTTCACAGCTCTGGGGATGAAGCTGTGTCTTAGTCTGTTTGTTTTAGTCTTTTGTCTTAGTCAGTTTGTTTTATATTCCTGTACCTTTTCCTGGAGGGAAGAGGCACAAACAGACTGTTGCCTGGGTGGGTGGGGTCTTCAGCAATCCGTCCGGCCCTCCTCTGGATCCGGTCAGTGTATATTGAGTCCAGATCCAGAAGAGGACTCCCTACAATGCCCTGAGCTGTTCTCACCACCCAGGTCAAGTCCTTTCTGTCCTGTGCAGTGCAGCTCCCGTACCACACTGTCACACTGAGACAGAGGATGCTCTCTACTGTCGCTCTGTAGAAGTTTGTGCACAGCTGAGAGCAGAGACCAGCATGTTTCAGCTTCCTGAGGAAGAAAAGCCTTTGCTGGGCTTTCTTCACCAGGTAGGATGTGTTCAGAGACCAGGTCAGGTCAGATGTGATGTGGATGCCCAGGAACTTGATGTTATCCACTTGCTCCACCACCTCCCCGTGTATGAGAAGAGGAGCATATTTTGTCTTCCTGGACCTCCTATAATCCACAATGGCCTCCTTAGGTGTTCAGGGCAATAAACTGAGCTGTCCTAGGAAACAACAGAAAACTGTGAGAAAAAGTCCATTTATTTTGAAAAGAGAAGACTAATATGAAGATATATTTCTCTATATGAAATTAATTATGCATTAACGTATCAAAATAAGCATGTGCACATGGATCCCTTCTGTTTAAGATAAACAGAAAAGACTAACTTCAACTTAGCAGTATACAACACTTATAGGAAAAAATGTTCTCTCTGATTGGTCCAAAACTGTTGGGGAGCAATTGTGGTTTAAACTTAATTCTCCCAAGATTGGTCCTTCAGTCCGTCCATCCTCCAATCATCCTCTCTGCTCCAATGGGCTGTAGACAACACCCTAAAAAAGAGAGGAATACCTGCCCTGTCTTAATTCCTAGATAGACACTTATGTCTTTCTTTGTTTCTAAGGAACTGCTACATTTTAGACATTGCTTTCCTGTTCCAATAAAACTGCTCTGCCTGTGTGTGTGTATATTGCCCTGTCTTTTGAAGTGGCTCCTCTT